ATCCACAGATAACTTTAATTAAAATACTACCGTAAAAACGTAGCGAAGCAAAGCTCTACGCAATGCTGATACAGTATATTGTCGTTAAAGTTAGACTCTCTCAGATGTTTTTTATTAAATAATTGAAGCTGTTCTAGTTCCTGTTTTAAAGCTTTTTTTCTACTTTCCCCCACCTCCAAGACAAGGAATCTTTTTACCCAATGATAGACATCAACTGGTGGTCAGAGAATGCGGTCATCCTGGCTCGCTGTTCGGGTGCTTTGACAGTGTCATCAGTGAAGACCTTGAAAAATCTGTTGGGCAAATCCTGTGAATGGTTTGAAAGTTCCCCTCAGGTCACCTCTGCTCATGATGGTGGATTTCTAAGTTTGGAGGTAGGGAACACTGGCAGAAATGTCATATTTCTATGTGTGGAATGTCATCTCCTTCATGTATAAGTCTCCTATACGTTGTGTGTGTAAAGAAAGCATTTTAGATGGACTTCAATTATTAGAATAGAAGAGTGAGATGCATTTGACAATGTCCCTATTCAAATTATTTTTTTATTATTTCATTACGTTTATGAAATGTTTTTTCCATAATATTATCTCAAAGCAATTTCACAGTGGCAACATTGAGATTAAAAACAATTCCATGTGTACAAACAATGTAAACAATTTCATATGTAAAACCAATTTCAAATCCAATATAAATACAGACTGGGGTAGTTCTGACTGGGATGTCACAGTGAACCATGGGTTTTCCCAAGGTGAAGTAGCTGCAGAGAGCCTCCAGCATTCTCTGGTGTGGCTGCAAGAAGTTGACCTGGTTGCTTTATATTTTTAAAATAAATTTTATTTTGATAAAGTAATAATCGGAAATAAATAAGAATAAAAATGTGCACCCCCACCACTGAGACCATTCCATTGTTATCTATCCAACCTCCCAAAACTTCAACACCTCTTGAGATGGTTTGACCCCTTTCCGTTTTAACTGTGCAAATTCTACAAACACCCTCTATATCTCCTCAAAATCATTTCTTCTCTGTATTCCCCATCTTACCTTAATGGCACATGTCAACTTATCATTAATAGCTATATCCCACACCACTTTATGCCATTCTGCCATTTTATATTCTGCTTGCCCCTTCTACTTCCTACCCATCATAATTCGTGCAGCTGTCAATAAATTTGTGAGCAAGTCCTTCATAGCTTGTGAACCTTCCACCCCATCGTAAATTGATATTTATGCTACCTCTGGACTTTTGGTCAGCTTTAACCCAGTGATTTCTGTTATCTCCTTAAACACCCTTTGCCAAAAAAAATCATACATGTTTATACCTCCACTACATGTGAACATAATGCCCTGTTTTCTGGCATCCCCTCCAACATAACACCGAATATTCCCGACCTGTACACTTTATGTCGAAACCTGGCAAACTCTTGTAAATCTTACCTATGCTCTGTCTGAAACAAGCCAGCTTCATAATCTGTGAACCACGTTAAAATAATCCTATCTCTGCTTCATATGTGCCTCCACACACAGCCATTTTACTTCAGGAGTGAGCAAGCAAGATAGCAAGCTACATCTGAACAAGGTGGGTACTCAACCAAGTTTCACTCAGTAACTCATTGGAATAAATGTACATGGATAAATTAAGTCTGTTAATTCCAGTGGCTCCACTCCAAGTGAAACTTAGTTGAATACCTGCCCAGGAACTATAGCTAATGGCTTTGGAACAAGCCATGCTTTGAAGTTGGCTTAACACCCTGGCTTATTCTGAGGATGTAAACCATAATTTCACAATTAAGACTCAGCAGGAAACTGTAGTTAGTCTGGTGTTTTCCAGATCACGAAAAGGGACAAACAAAGCGTCTGTGATGGGAACTACAAGGATCTTTTGTTAACTTGTTAAACTGACAAACGATCACTTTAACTTGACTGTGGTTAGCTTGTTCTTAACAAGCCATATATAAGATTTACTGCATTCTGTTGGGTTTCGATGAAATGGCAAACTGCCCTTAATAAAAAACAGACACAGGACATTCCAATCTCCTCACAGCCATGCCGGGGAGTTGGGGAGTGTGTGAGATCAAGGCTAACTGTGACTTATCCCTGTTAGGGTAAACCATGGTTTATTGTGACATTCCAAAGTAGCTGGGTGACTTTAATTTACTGGCAAAAAATAAATTAATTTAATCTATAGTAAAGGGACACACAACTATGGAAAATTTAATTATGATTACATATTGTGGGTTCTTTTTGTTGAACTCAAAACTTCTGATGGTATGAGTAACAAGCACTAAGTTATCCATAGTTAATAAATCTCATCTACTGTATCAACTTTTAGGAGCTCTTCCCGCCCTCCCCCCCAGCCAATGAGACTAAATTAATTTGTTTAATTTAGCTCTCTCCCCCCCCCCCCATCTTTGGACTTGTAGTAGAGTTCTATCCTAACACCCCTATATTTATATACTTCTGGAACATCAAAAATGAAGCATACGTCATAGGAAATTTATGAAACGCCATAGAACATAGAATCTTCAAATCAGGAGAGCACTGGGAATGCGAAGTAGCACAGTTTAAGGAGCAAATCCAACATAATTTTTAATCCTCCTTTTTAGCTCCAGCTGAGCATTGGAGGGTTAAATCAAGAGTCAGTAGTGTCACATCTTTCACTCAGCGATTTAGTGGATATTTTAAAAATGCCTTCAATTAGCAAGCGTTTCTTCTTCTGAATAGTTGCCGTTATTGAGCGAGACTTTTGTTCCCTTTGTATTAAACATGTCTGTGCATATGACGTTTGTATGCATCTGATGTGTCTCCTTTTGTTAATCCTTTACCTTGTCATCTTGTAATTTCCTCAGGGCTGTCTGCCTTTCAAATACTGAGGTGTTGTTTTTTTTGAAAATTATTTCCCCTCTAGTTCTTTTATTCCTGTTTCTTTTGTGTATCAGCAGTGCCACTATTTCTCTTAAAACTAAAGATCTTGGTGCCATCCTTTTCACGATGATCTAAGACTCGTTTTCAAGTTGTTCGATAATGCTAAATTCCCCTTTTTTCTGCCCATGCTCCATTCCCTTATTAAATAATGTCTTAATTACAGTGGTACCTCAGGTTACATATGCTTCAGGTTACAGACTCCGCTAACCCAAAAATAGTGCTTCAGGTTAAGAACTTTGCTTCAGGATGAGAACAGAAATCATGCTCCGGTGGCACAGCAGCAGCGGGAGGCCCCATTAGCTGAAGTGGTGCTTCAGGTTAAGAACAGTTTCAGGTTAAGAACGGACCTCCGGAACGAATTAAGTACTTAACCTGAGGTACCACTGTATTGTGGGGTTTTTTGGTGGTTGTAATTTTGTACTCTCCTTACCTGGGAGTAGGTACCATTAAGCTCACTGAGGCTTACTTTTGAATTGACATATAGGAATGTTCGCTTAGCCATCCTCTTTCTGCCTAAGAGACTTGCCCCTGTTTTGTGTTCTGCTGCCCACCTGCTATCTCTAGCTTTTCCTTATTATTCATTTGATTTCGTTCTAGTATTCTCATTCATCCTTGCTTCTATTCCCTATCTTTCGGGGCTTTTTTCTTCATGAACTCTTTAGCAGCCTATTTAAATGTACTTGTTCTCATTCTCTCTCTCCCTTTCCCTCAAATGCTTGAAGGTTCATTTGTCTGAGGTAGTCTATGCTCAGTTGTTTTTAGTGTTATCCTATTTTTGTGTATTTTTAGTCCTCCCTCCACCATTAGAGTGTAAAACTGCTGGGCAACGTCTGGCTACCTGCATTGCTGAAGCTATAATCATACATGGCACCGTGTAGTTTTGAAGCAAGGTTTGAGGCAAAAGTGCAAAGCTTCATGTGCCTCTTTCATTGTTGTTCATTCAGATATACTGCTGCAACTAAATTACATGTAATGATAGATCTTTCCGCTTCATAATCTTGTTTTAAAACTTGTATTCAGTTTCAGATATTTCAGTATCATATGCTTCCTACGTGACCTTGTGATTAGATGATCTAGTGATATCTATATATTTATAACAAGAAAGCGAACTTCTTTCTTTTCAAAATGTCTAAACCCTAACCCAAAACGCGAATTCTATGGCAGTTTACATAAAAAATATAAATACACTGTTAAAGCAAGCATTAAAAAACAAAACAAAACCATAAAGTAAGAAATAATAAACTAGAAAACACAACTATTATTCAGCCAATTAATACAATACAGATTTCTCTTTTTTTCTTCAAAAAAATAGGTCTAGGGAAATGAAAACCTGGTACCAAAAATAATGCAATGACAGTGCTTGTCTTACTTTCAATACCAAAGGCATAGGGCATTCCAAGGAGACCCTACTAATTCTTACAAAATGTATTTATTAAGCATGTCCTAGTCCTTATGAATGTACTTAACACTGGGGTTGTGCTAATGGCCCTTCCATGCTAATAACTTTGCTCTGTATGTAGCCGCTGCTGGATGCTTGAGAAGGAAATTCATTTTCTGGAGCTGGTTTCTTTTTGGTCCCAGAAGCTTTGAGAATTGTGGTGGTGGCTTATTGCCTCTCTGTGTGCTGAAGCCTGACAGACTTAAGTGTGATGCATTGCGCTGTTTAGTAAGAATTGCTTTCCTCGTAGTGCGAGGTGAAGCTGGCTCCAAAGAGATCGCGCTTGGATAGCAGGCCTGGTGATGAAGACGAAGGAGAAGATGACTCCGATTCGGACGACGAAACTTCTGCCAAGGCCCGGTATTTTGGCTACCTTAAGCAAGGCTTGTACTTTGTGACCGAAATGGAGCGCTTTGCTCCTCCGCGGAAACGTCCACGCACTATCATAAAGAATTACCGCCTTGTAAACCTGAGGTCCACGACTCCTGAGGAGCTGTACCAAAGAAAGGTGAGAGTGAGACATTCTGCCCTCCCTTTTCTCACGTGATCATTAATTTTCTTACAACAGGGGACTTGGGTCTTAGTTCAGCTGGACATGTTTCGGTAGCATTGGTTTAAACCAGGGTTTCCCAAACTTGGGTCTCCAGGTGTTTTTGGACTACAACTCCCATCATCCCTAGCTAGCAAGGGTCAGGGATGATAGGAATTGTAGTCTGAAAACAGCAGGAGACCCAAGATTGGGTAACATTGGTTTAAACAGAACTATCTTCTGAGTTATTTTGATGTGTCTTAATTAGTTTGACATTGCACTCATATTTCGAAGAGTCCTGGGATTACTGTATCTTTTGCTCTATAAGACTCACTTTTTCCCTCCTAAAAAGTAAGGGGAAATGTGTGTGCATCTTATGGAGCGAATGCAGGCTGCGCAGCTATCCCAGAAGCCAGAACAGCAAGAGGGATTGCTGCTTTCACTGCACAGCGATCCCTCTTGCTGTTCTGGCTTCTGAGATTCAGAATATTTTTTTTCTTGTTTTCCTCCTCCAAAAACTAGGTGCGTCTTGTGGTGTGGTGTGTCTTATAGAGCAAAAAATACGGTATTTATTTGTTTGTTTATTTATTGCATTTTATATTCCACCTTTCCTCCAAGAAACTTAAGGTGGTGCATATCATTCTTCTGTTTTTCATTTAATCCCCACAACATCCATGTGAGGCAGGTTAGGCTGAGAGTCAGTGACTGACCCAAGGACAGCCAGCAAGCTTCATGACTGAGTGGGGATTTGAACCTTGGTGGCGCTGTGGGTTAAACCACAGAGCCTAGGGCTTGCCGATCAGAAGGTCGGCAGTTCGAATCCCCGTGACGGGGTGAGCTCCCGTTGCTCAGTCCCTGCTCCTGCCAACCTAGCAGTTCGGAAACACGTCAAAGTGCAAGAAGATAAATTGTTACCGCTCCGGAGGGAAGGTAAACGCCGTTTCTGTGTGCTGCTCTGGTTCGCCAGAAGTGGCTTAGTCATGCTGGCCACATGACCAGCTCCCTTAGCCAATAAAGCGAGATGAGCGTCCCAACCCCAGAGTCAGCCACGACTGGACCTAACAGTCAGGGGTCCCTTTACTTTTACCTTTATAATGTACAGTGAAAAGCAGGAGGTATTTTCTAGTCATGATGCTGAAGCAGCATAGTTCCTGGTGCATTTTTTCCTTCCCAATCAATAAATGTGCAGGTGTTACTCGTTTGTTGCAAATGCTTTTTCCTCAAGATACAATGTCTGCTATGGGGATCTCACATTTCTTCCCCTGAGCATTTGAAGCACATATTATATTGTTCCTGGATGAAATGAATCCCTTCCTGTTAAGATTGTGCAGCCTTTTATTTGAGACTGCTGTGTAAAATGAAGGGTCACGTGCACCTGCTATATATGGATTGTGATGAAACCCTTTGTCTAGTGGATCAGACACTGCACAATTGTTTTTGACTGGCAAATGGGTATTCTGGGTTGGGAAATGATCTTCCTGATTCTCTGAATAATGCTAAACCTGTTGTACATGCTGCTTTTCTTATGGAAAGTTGACTCTCTTGTAATGGAGCCCACAGCGATTGCTTTGATTTCATTATGCTTTGTTTGTAGATTGATAATGAAGAATACGGAGAAGCTTTGTCGCTGGCTCAAACATACGACCTTGATTCTGACCTTGTTTATCAGAGGCAATGGAGGAAATCGGCTGTTAGCATTGCTTCTATTCAGGATTATCTGGTATGTTCTCTTAGGGGAAGGTAGTTTTTACGTTAGCCTTTCTGAAGCTCATGCCCTGCACTGCAGATGTTTTGCACTACAATGCTCATTGGGTGGGATTCACCTAACATGCCTTTGTCGGCGGAAACTTCCACTTGTGCAACAGGACTTCCCCCTCCTCCAGCCATGTGCTCCAACCCGCAACGCCAAAATTGACTCTGAAGGGTTGTGCGATTCCCCCGGGACAGTGGAGGGGATGGAGAGTGAGGGACAATTGTTCCGTCTGACAAGCGTCAGTGCTTGTGCAGGTGGAATGTTCATAATAACTTGACAATGAATTCCACCAAATGACTTCAGGGCTCATGGGTGTTCCAGTCCAAAACATCTGCCGGCTGCCATGCTTTTACAAAGCATGTGAAATTTCCAGTGTTCTCTTATGGGGTCTAAAACTGGATTTGAAAAAAAAACAAACCCCAATTCTTTACTATGCAAAATAAACAGGCTTAAGCATTTTTATTGTGTAATTTGCAACATTACTCAGAAAAGACTCATTGAATGCCCATTGATGCCCATTGGGTAGTCTCTTGATTTGCCTTTGCTGGATTCATGTGCCTCCTCTACAAGAAGTCTGAAGGGTGGAAACATGAGAATGGGCCTTTTCTGCAGTGGCTCCCCATTTGTGGAATGTTCTCCCCAGGGAGGTTCGCCTGGCACCTTCATTAGACACCGTTAGGCGCCAGGTGAAAACGTTCCTATTCAACCAGGCCTTGGGCTGACTGACATCCAATGTCCTTTTAAATGTGTTGTGGGAAGGGGTTTTTTTTGTTTTTGTTCTTATTTTTATTATGGCTTTTTGGTGGCTTTTATATTGTACAGTGGTACCTCAGGTTACATACGCTTCAGGTTACATACGCTTCAGGTTACAGACTCCGCTAACCCAGAAATAGTGCCTTGGGTTAAGAACTTTGCTTCAGGATGAGAACAGAAATCGTGCTCTGGCGGCGCAGCAGCAGCAGCAGGAGGCCCCGTTAGCTAAAGTGGTACCTCAGGTTAAGAACAGTTTCAGGTTAAGAACGGCCCTCTGGAACGAATTAAGGACTTAACCCGAGGTACCACTGTAAGTCAGCAAAAACAAGACCTGGAGCGGACTGTGGCTCAGATCATCAGCTTCTTATAGCAAAATTCAAGCTTAAACTGAAGAAAGTAGGAAAAACCACTGGACCGGCAAGATACAATCTAAGTCAAATCCCTTATGAATACACAGTGGAAGTGAGGAACAGGTTTAAGGATTTAGATTTGCTGGACAGAGTGCCTGAAGAACTATGGATGGAGGCTCGCAACATTATACAGGAGGCAGCAACGAAAACCATCCCAATGAAAAGGAAATGCAAGAAAGCAAAGTGGCTGTCTAACGAGGCCTTACAAATAGCGGGGGAGAGAAGGCAAGCAAAGTGCAAGGGAGATAGTGAAAGATACAGGAAATTGAATGCAGATTTCCAAAAATAGCAAGGAGAGACAAGAAGGCCTTCTTAAACGAGCAATGCAAAGAAATAGAGGAAAACAACAGAATGGGAAGAGCCAGAGATCTGTTCAAGAAAATTGGAGATATGAAAGGGACATTTCGTACAAAGATTACCATAATAAAGGACAAAAGTGGTAAGGACCTAACAGAAGCAGAAGACATCAAGAAGAGGTGGCAAGAATATACAGAGGAACTATACCAGAAAGAAATGGATGTCTTGTATACCCCAGGTAGTGTGGTTGCTGACCTTGAGCCAGACATCCTGGAGAGTGAAGTCAAATGGGCCTTAGAAAGCACTGCAAATAACAAGGCCAGTGGAAGTGATGGTATTCCAGCTGAACTACTTAAAATTTTAAAAGATGATGCTGTTAAGGTGCTACACTCAATATGCCAGCAAGTTTGGAAAACTCAGCAGTGGCCAGAGGATTGGAGAAGATCAGTCTACATCCCAATCCCAAAGAAGGGCAGTGCCAAAGAATGCTCCAACTACCGCACAATTGCACTCATTTCACACGCTAGCAAGGTTATGCTTAAAATTCTACAAGGAAGGCTCAAGCAGTATATGGACCGAGAACTCCCAGAAGTGCAAGCTGGATTTAGAAGAGGCAGAGGAACCAGAGACCAAATTGCAAACATGTGCTGGATTATGGAGAAAGCTAGAGAGTTCCAGAAAGACATCTACTTCTGCTTCATTGACTATGCAAAAGCCTTTGACTGTGTCGACCACAGCAAACTATGGCAAGTTCTTAAAGAAATGGGAGTGCCTGATCATCTCATCTGTCTCCTGAGAAATCTCTATGTGGGACAAGAAGCTACAGTTAGAACTGGATATGGAACAACTGATTGGTTCAAAACTGGGAAAGGAGTCCGGCAAGGCTGTATATTGTCTCCCTGCTTATTTAACTTATATGCAGAATTCATCATGCGAAAGGCTGGGCTGGATGAATCCCAAGCCGGAATTAAGATTGCCGGAAGAAATATCAACAACCTCAGATATGCAGATGACACAACCTTGATGGCAGAAAGTGAGGAGGAATTAAAGACCCTTTTAATGAGGGTGAAAGAGGAGAGCGCAAAATATGGTCTGAAGCTCAACATCCAAAAAAAACGAAGGTCATGGCCACTGGTCCCATCACCTCCTGGCAAATAGAAGGGGAAGAAATGGAGGCAGTGAGAGATTTTACTTTCTTGGGCTCTATGATCACTGCAGATGGTGACAGCAGTCACGAAATTAAAAGACTCTCCTTTCTCCTTGGGAGAAAGGCGATGGCAAACCTAGACAGCATCTTAAAAAGCAGAGACATCACCTTGCCAACAAAGGTCTGTATAGTTAAAGCCATGGTTTTCCCAGTAGTGATGTATGGAAGTGAGAGCTGGACCATAAAGAAGGCTGATCGCCGAAGAATTGATGCTTTTGAATTATGGTGCTGGAGGAGACTCTTGAGAGTCCTATGGACTGCAAGAAGATCAAACACATCCATTCTTAAGGAAATCAGCCCTGAGTGCTCACTGGAAGGACAGATCCTGAAGCTGAGGCTCCAATACTTTGGCCACCTCATGAGAAGAGAAGACTCCCCTGATGTTGGGAAAGATGGAGGGCACAAGGAGAAGGGGACGACAGAGGACGAGATGGTTGGACAGTGTTCTCGAAGCTACAAACATGAGTCTGACCAAACTGCGGGAGGCAGTCGAAGACAGAAGTGCCTGGCGTGCTCTGGTCCATGGGGTCACGAAGAGTCGGACACGACTAAACGACTAAACAACAACAACCACTGTAATTTTATGTTGTGAGCTGCTGTGAGATCTACAGATAAAGTGTAGTATACAAATTTAAGAAATAATAATAATAATAATAATAATAATAATAATAATAATCTTTATAAATGTTTACTGACGTGTTCTCTGTAGTCCAGTTGATTTGATCTCCAAATCACAATTAGGGGTGAGTGGGAGGTAAAAAAAGGTACCTTATTTTTTGCT